AAAAAAAAAAAAAAAAGGCACTGTGCTATTAAACAGAATGATCCCAAAGGCCCATGTGTTAAAAGCTTGGTCTTCAGCTCATGGCTCTGGAACCTATAAAAGGAGGAGCCTAGTTCATTGGGACTGTGACCTCAAAGATGATACTGGGACCCTGGGCCATTTTTCTCCTTCAGGCTACCAGTGAGCAGGTAAATAGGCTTTGTCCTCTACCACTCCTGCCATGATATATAGGGCAGGCCCAAAAGCAATGGAACCAACCCAATCCACTGACTGAAACAGAAAAACTGTGAGCCACAATAAATCTTTCCTCTTTATAATTTTATTATCCCAGATATTTGTTATAATATTAGAAAACTAAGACCACATAGTGATGGATACATATTTTTCAAAATTTTTATTTCTGCAAAGAATTTAAAAGTGACAAGAAATATCAGAAACTTTGAGAGGCACTGAGTCGAACCTCACCAAAAAGAAATGGAGCTTTCTTTGAACAACAGGTTTGCTTACTGTCAAAAAAACAAAAAACAAAAAACTGTGAGCCAGGCACAGTGGCTCATGCCTATAATCCCTGCAACTCAGGAGGCAGAGATTGAGAGGATGGTAGTTTGAAGCCAACCTGAGAAAGCAGTGAAAACCCCCATCTCAAGGAAAAGGCTGAGCGTGGTAAGATGCTGTCATCCTAGCTACTGAGGAAGCTTAAGTAGGAGATGTAAGACCTACCTGAAAAATAACAAAAGCAGAAAAGGATCGGACATGGCTAAAGTGGTAGAGCACCCGCCTAGCAAGCAGGAGGCCCTGAATTCAAACCCCAGTTCTGAAAAAAAAGCCAGTCAAATATTAAACTCTGAAAAACCCTAACTTGACATTCTTTCAATTAAAAATGATATTGCATGAAAAAAGGGAGTCTATTTCAGCTTAAAAATCAAACAGTTGCAAAAGTACTTTTCCTGGAGAGAATGAACAGAAGAGTTTCTTCAACTGCATTACACCCGGTACTAAAAAGACATGTACTCAAGGGTAAACATTTAATATTTTTTATTGCCTTATCAAGGGCATTCTTAAATGAAACTCACATTTTATTTATTAATTGATCATGGTGGCCTTATGCACACCTTAAGCCGTGACACTGGCACAAAAAAATTTTTTTAATCCTATAAATGCTAACAGATGAGTCCCAATACATGTGGTGCCCTGCTATGACTGGCGCAGGGCACCAGCACTTTTACACAACACCACTTTGACAGCATCAATGCAAATGTTAATACAGTGGATAAAAGTAAGTAACAGCTTAGTATTTTTATGAAGACAGTTTTCACAGAACTCTCAAAAAGCTCTATGAACTTTAAGAACCACTACACTGGAACTTCCTTGTTAAATTATTTTCAAAAGTCTGTTTTTTTATTCAACAGAATCCTTGCTTCTGAAAAAATGTGTTTCTTGTTGTTTTACTTTTTTCCTGAGACAGAGCTTTGGTATGTAGCCCAGGTGGGCCTCAACCTCACAAACTTCCTGCCTCAGTTTCCCAAGTGGAAAAAATGTGCTTAATATATTAATATCAAATCAACATGATCAATAGAATTCCACCTAAAGTTTTCAATTAAAATTCCAAGTGCTTATGTTTTTTAAATCTGGATTACAGTAATTAAAAAGTACTAAATTACTATTACTACAAACAGAAGCTTCATTCCTTGGGCAGTAAAAGGGGAACTAGTCCACCTGTACAAGAAACTCTTTTTTTTTTTTATAGGTAAGTACATAAATAAAAACAATCTCTGGGCAGGCTGAGGCAGAAGGATCTCAAGTTCAAGGCAAGCCTGGGGTAGCTGGAGGCATGGCTCGTGATAAAGTGCATTGTCTAACAAGCATGAAGCCCTGAATTCAAACCTTAGTACCACCACAAAAAAAACCCCAAAAACCTAAGTTTAACAACTCACCACTTCTGATATACTCACTTTCTGCTTATGTTGTTGCAAGAGGTTGTCAAGATTGTGTCGCCTCTTATAGTTAAAATAGAAGTTTTTACACTGTGCTTCACTTTTAGTTCCCACCATTTTGGCAATTGCTGCCCAGTTACGACCATGTTCTACCAGGCCTGTATTTTAAAAGCAAATCAAGTATTAATTGAAGAGTCACCTGATTAAGGAAGCATGAGAAATAATATTTCACCTTGATCATTGCAGTCACAATCATTAACACTAAATGTGTTAATGATTCACACATTCGATTTCTCAATTTCTCATTAATATGCTGCAATATTTATTAAAATACTTACTAACACAAAGCACACTTATATCTCTGTATTCTTCTCCCAAAATATATAACATACTCATTAGTGGAAGGGTAAGGCTTATCCTTGCTATGCATCTCAGAACAACATTAGATCCGTATTATAAGCCCAAATGCTTGCGAATCCTTGGAGAAAGATATTAGCAAAAGAACTGTCAAATACAATGATTAACAAAGGGCCTCATTTTTATGAAACTTGACTCAGCATCTGATGTCAGACAATTTCCAAACAATTCCATCAAAAAAATTAACAAGTTTAAAAAAATAAAATCCTATTTTAGAATACTGAGATCAGGAGGATTGAAGTTGTAAGCCAGCCCAGGCAAAAAGTTTGAGAGACCCCATCTCAATCAACAGCAAGGTATGGTAGAACACACCTGTCATCTCAGCTATGCAGGAGGCTGAGATTGAAAAGATCATGTTCCAGGCCAGCCCATGCAAAGAAGTTCACGAGACCGAATCTCAAAGGAAAGAGCCAGGCATAATGGCATGTGCCTGTCATTTCAGGCTACTGCAGGAAGCGTAAAATAGGAGGGGCATAGTCCAGGCTTGCCTGGGCAAAAGTGAGACCCTATCTTAAAAATAATCTGAGCAAAAGGGCCGGAGACATGGCTCAAGTGACAGAGTGCCTGCCTAGCAAGTACGAAGCGCTGAGTTTAAATCCCAGTACTGCAAAAAAAATTAAATTACATTAAATTTTAAAATCCTGTTTTAATATAAGGCATCACAAAATCTTATACTTCGCTGATCAAACAATACAAATATGCAAACACACATATATACATGCAAAGAATGAGTATGTAAGTGTATATAAATATATGTAGAGAACTGTACAAAGACGTATCTTAGATACAGTCTTTAATTCTTCATACAAATTTAACAATGTATAGGCAAGCATTAATTTTTCACGGTTATGTAAGTAGCTTCCTTAATAATGAAAATTACAAGGTCATTATCAAGTTTTGCCAGGTATATGAATAGAAAAGAGTTATAAACAATTACACATAGGAACATCTGCCTAAAAAAAGATCATTTTATGATATAGGTAGTATCCACTTATTCAATCATGACATTTTGACAGTGGGATCAGAATGTATGTGAACCTTCTTAAAAATTATAGAAATTTAGCATTTGCCAGAAAATGCTTTAAAAACAACACTTTATTAAACTGCTTTATTTCTGGCAAAGTTGTCTTATTATGATTCTGAGATGTATGATTCATTACATGTTAAATAGAAAATAAATCTGAAACCTACAGCCAAAAGATCGAGCTAAAGATAACCATTTCTCTTCAGAACTTCAAGGTAAATATTTAACCAAGAATGAATCTTTCTTAAAATTAACCACCAATTGTTTATCGTATTTGAAATTTTAGTTCAATTTCAAACTATACTAATAAGCAAAGGTGGGCAAACACAAAGTCCATAAAGCTCTGGAGCGCAGTGAAAACCACATTGCCGTGAAAGCAGCAGACACAGAAATCATACCTTTGGCCACAAGACATGGTCACAGCTCTGAAACACAGTAAGACTTAACCAAATGCAAACTGAGAAAGAAGCCACCACTCTATTCCATGTAACATGAAAAGAAATGCAGACTTCATATTCAAAATTTGTTCTAAAATTATGTCAATAACATATAAATCACAACTATTATGGGAAAGTGAAAATGGCTACTTGTTCTCTAATGATAATCCAAAAAAAAAAAAAAAACCACCACCAACAACAAAACACTGTGAAGAGACTCTCAACTCTTTAATCCCTCAAATATGGACTTCTTTGGCACTCTGTGGGTACTTACACCATTAAAAAGAACTCTTAAATTTGCTTCAAAATTCTTCTTACCTGGAATAAGGGGATGGCTCAGGTGAGCACCTGCATAGTAAGTGCAAGGTCCTGAGTTTAAACCCCAGTACCCTCTCCCCCAAAAATTCTACTGACCTTTGTGGAAGACCATTTTTTTTTTTATAACCAAAAAAATTTGTTCTGGGGCTGGAAGAGTGGTTCAAGTGGTAGAGTGCCTGCCTAGAATGCATAAGGCCCTGAATTCAAACCCCAGTCCTGCTAAAAAAAAGTCTATTCCTCACTCATAACTAACTGCTCTTTAAAAACCCTGAGAAGTCTGAACTACTATAGTTTACCTTTTTTAGCAACTTCCATTTCTTCTTCTGTCCATCGAGAGGTCTCCACAGGCTCTGCAGAAACTGAAATAAAAAAAGAAAATCTAGCCAGGCAGAGAAAAGGTTAAATCCTTCATTCAGACAAACTATGTTTAGCTGATGTAAAAGTCTACTGAAAGTATTTGGTAAAAAACACTGTGGAAATTGGATGGTATCGGCCTCTCCCCCACCAACAAGGCAGAAAAGTTCATGTCATGATCTTTTCAAAATGTTTCTGAGTATTTCCAAATGTTCCATCTTTGTATATTTGAACACCATTAGTATAATTTTGAGAAAGTCCCATCTCACCTACTGTCTTTCTGCTTTATAGACCACAACCCTTCCTTTCCTTCGATGTCAAAGGAAGAGACAAGCTCTTCCTTCCTGGCCAGGCACAGTCTCCTCTCCTCTGAACCCTCATCTCATCTTAACTCCTTTTGTTCATCCTTCAATGACTGACAACAATCAATAGGCACAGATGGATAATGCACTGAACACTTACTCTTTTGCATTAGAAAAAAATCTGAAAATATCAGGCCTGAAATGAACTCATGTCATATCTCTTTCTCTATTGAAGTACCACATCCACCCAGTCACTTGAATTAACAAACTCCTCTGACTGATTTTGGAATTCTCTTTGTCAACTTTCAAGTCTTGAATTCATCCCCTCCCCATACACAATGTCCTTCTGGATGGTCCCTCTGCCTCCAGCCCCTAGCCTGTCCAACATGACCTCCACAATTGCTACCAGAGTTATCTTTCTAAAACATAAATCTAACCACAGCACTTCTTCATTTAAACATTGCAGGCTCCCTCCTTTGTAACCAAAGCAAGATATACTTCAACAAGGCCCGTCATGATCTGCTGCCAGACTATCTTTCATCCTTCTGTCTACTTGGTTCACCTACATCATTCCTGTCATTGCTGGAATGTGTACACTCTTCCTACTTCATATTATGGTAAAATTTGTACCACTGAGCCACCAGTGGTGGCACTTTATCATATGATTTTATAGACTAATAGTATAATATTTTGTAAGAGAGAAACATAGTTATATCCTTAGGCCTACTACTTATTTCTATGAAAAATAATTTAACAGAAAGAAAATGTTATGGGCATAAATACTATTTTACATTTACTTTGGTTTAAAAGGTAGAAGAAGAGAGCGTAATCATTCAACAGTAGGGAAATAGTTAAATATTTCCTCAGAAACAAAATGTCAACACTGTACAGGCATTTAAAAAATAAAAATGAAAGTTACTTAGAAATTAGAAAATGTTTATGACATATACTAAGCAAAGACATCAGAAAACAAAATGGTATGCACACTAGGCCTATACCTAAGCAAAAAAAGGAAAACAAGTGTTTTAGGGTAACAACATTATACCTGAGGTTGTTTTTCAAAAGACTTTGACTTTAAAGCTTAAAAACTAGACTTTTCGCCTGGGTGGTGGCTCACATCTGTAATCCCAGCTGCAGGGGAGGCACCGGTAGAAGAATCTCAGTCCAATGCCAGCCCCAGCCAAAAAGCCAGGCCCTATGGAGGATGAGGAGGAAATAAAGCAGAAAGGGTGAGGGTGTGCCTCAAGTGGTACAGCATCTGCTCAGTGAGCATGAGGCCCTGATTTCCAATCCCCATTACCAGGCATCAAGATTATATCTAGGTTATCAGTATTAGCCATGCCTGCCATACCATAGCACTGAAATAGAATCTCAAACAAAATTATACCCTGCTCATCCCAATCCCTTCCACTCACTGGGTTCTGGTGGTGGTGGCAGAGGTGGTGGTGGCTCTTCAGTGGCTGCTGCAGCCGCAGCACTAGCAGCTGCAGCTTCGTTTGTCATGGACCTGGTTATTCGACCCTTTCTGCGGCCTTGGCTGTTGGCAGTCTTTCGCCCCCGGGGCGTGGCCTGCTCTCTCTCTTCAGTTTCTTCTGTTATACCTTCATTCTTATCCTTTTCCTTGGTATTGTCTCTAGAAACAAATGCAAATAAGAACTTGTGTGATTTAAAAGTATACATTTACCAAAGATTTCAGTTTTATATATTCTTTATATAGAAAATAAATAAATCTACTTAAGATCTTAGTTACCTTAAAAAATTATGAAAAATTATCTCAAGTAATTTTGAAGAGCTCTGACTGGGTCAAATTAAGATACTTCACAAGGCCTTTATCATGTTTCAATGGTTTAAACACATTTCAAATATTCATGAGGAAATAATGAATGAAAACAGAAGACGCCATAGGCAGTGGACTACACCAAAAGGCAAGCGGGCCTGGGTTTTTGCCTTGGCACTAAGTTGTTTTATCTGTGAAATGAAAAAGTTGAAACAGAAAATATTCATGATAGATGCCTATTCTGTAATATCAATCCACAATACTATTTTATTAGACCAGTCTTAATATTCTGAACCACCTCCAACACTGATGATGTGCAAATAAGGTAGCATGGATTCATGATCAGGAGAACGGCCTCTGGAGCCAGAGTGCTTGAGATTGTTACCAAAGCTCTGTGATTTAATATCGATGTGATGACCTTGGCTAAACTGCCTCACTTCCATGAGCCTCAGTTCCCTCATCTGTAAAATGAGGACAGTGATAGATTATTTCATAGACCAGTTGTGAGGATTAAGGGAGTTAATTAATATAAAGTGCCTAGAATCATGCCTGGAACACAGTAAACATCATATATGTTTGCTATTATTAAGGCTAAACTTCTCTCAGGCTATAAAGTGGTTATTATGGTCTCAGGCACTTAGGAAAAACTTAATAAATGTTAGCTCCTATTAACAGCAACATTATCGTAAGAAATACTAGAAGACCATTCTCTGTACTACTTTATCTCTCAAGGTTGTTACATTTAGGAATATGATACTTCTTGCTTAATGGAAGATGTTGATTATTTTCTTATTTTATCTACATTAAAATAAATACCTGTTGTGATTTATCAAGTTATACATTTTCCCAAAAGTAAATGCTTTAAGAATGATTCTTTTCCCTTTAGTCCTAAATTAAAGCTGTCGCTTTCCCGTCACTTCTTTACTCTCTTATCAACCAGTTTCTATTCTATAGCTTCCTGTTAATGATGTTTTGAAGTCATTAATAACTTACAAACTGAAAATTCCAATGACCTTTTCTCAGCTCTTTCCTCATTAATCTTTCTGCTACAACTGACACTGTGGACAATGCTTCTTTTTATATCCTTTTCAGCTTATCTTTGAAATATCCTATTATTCTGGCTCTCCTTCTGGGGAGTGCCTTTCTCCTTCTGTCTTTTCATAGAGGTATTTCCTCTGGCTTTCCCAAGTGTCTTGACTCTCTGTGAGGTTACCCATTCACATCAATTCTACTTGAATGGCTCTGATTCTATCTTTGGACTCATACTTTATCTCTGAAGATCCAGACTTATCTTCTCAACTGCCTGCTGGAACAGCCACCTGAATTTCCTATCAATAAAAACTCAATGCATCTAAAAACATGCTCACTCTTGTCACTCTGCTTCTTCCTCTGCCTCATTCTCCAATCATTTAACAGCCCCACATGTACACCATCACTCAGGTTTACAAATCTAACATCATCTGTAGCTTTCTTCTTTTCTTTTACTTTCTACATGCATCTAATGCCAAGATTTTGTTAGTGTTTCTCCCAGTAATTAATTCCACCAGGTCTATTTCTGCTACCGTTGTTCTTATTTAATACCACAGTTATCCCAATCAGGTCCCTGATTCTTACATCTCTAATCTATTCATTTTACATTGGTAATGGGTCAATACTGGCAGGACAGCAGTACTCCACTAGACACATTCTCCTCCCTACCTATCTATTCCCAAACAGACCTACACAGCCTCCTGAATGAAGTCTAACATTTTACCTTTCATTAAGGTTCTATATACTGTAATCCCAATCTGTCTTCCACTTCTCTTCTTCAGGTATACTATGTTGCAGTCTAAGGAAATAACTACCTGCCAATTCTAGACTTTACCAACTGGCCCAGCCAGATTTCAAAGGCAAGGGACCCAAAAGGTCACATAAACCAGGAATTCTTGCCTATACAAGCTCATTCAGTCTACAGGGTCACAAGTCATAGCCTCTGAAATGAACAGAGTGCTCTTTCATTTTGGTTTTTGATGGAGGAATCGAACCCAGGGCTTCAGGAATGCTCAGCAAGTGGCCCTAACTGCTGACTTGCACCTCTGACCCTACCTGCCAATTCTAATGCAGCATACCAATCCATGCTGTTCCCTTCACTCTAGCATATTAACCACAAGCTGTTATATAAAATCCTCCCAACCATCTACACAGCAGTAACCTTGACCACTTACTTCTCAATCTTCCAACACACATCACTGGTTCTACTCATTTCTATTTTCTTTATTCCCTTTCTTCCTCCCTTCCTTCCTCTACTGGCATTTGAACTCAAGACTTCTGTCACTTGAATGATGTCCTCAGCCCTTTGTACTATAATTATTTTTCAGATAGTGTCTTGCACTTTCTGTGATCCTCTTATGTACAACTCCATAGGGAGATAGGGTCTAACTGTTTTCCTGGGCTACCTTTGAACCACGATCCTCCTATCTTTGCCTCCAAAGTAGTTGGGATTGCAGTTGTGAGCCAGCAAGCCAATTGCTTTTTTCTTTTTTAAGAACATTGTTGGGCCTTGCCTACTTTTCTATTACTAGGCCATAAACTACCTAAAACAATACACATCTTATGTATTTTTGCAATCTCCAAGATCAAACTCCCACAGATAATAAATGAATTGTTGTTAAATAATTTAAGAGGCTTAAAAAAAAAGTAAAATGGCAGTTTCAAGAAAAAAGGAGGGGGGGATAAAAAAAAAATAGGTGGCAGTTCCATAAGAGTAGAACCACTGCCTATGTGGTATAATAAATGTTTGACCTAAACTAGTAAATTTTTAAAATTCCTTTACAGATATCTTCCTAAGACACAAAATTAGAAAAGCATGAATATCTGACTCTTAAAGCCATGTCAAGTGACTTACGTAGCTTTAGTTGCCATAAAACTAGGTAAACTTTAAGTAAATTTCTAAGAAGACTATAGACATAACACAATAAATACTAAAAAGGCAGAAACTACTGATCATGCAATGATCTAGGTAAATCCCAAAGGCATTTCCGTTAAGTAAAAGAAGCCACACAGAATAAATACTCACTACAGCTGGGATCTTCAACATCCCCCAAAGGTCCATGTGTTAAATAAAGTTTTAGTCCCTATGGTGGCACTTCTGGCAGGTAGTGAAGCCTTTGGGAATTGGAGCCTAGTGGGAGGTTTTCAAGTCACGGGGGCTGCTCTTGAGAGGGATCATTGGTACACTGGTGTCTCTCCCTCTCTACTTCATGGCCATGATATAAAGGGCCTGGCTTCATCATGTGATTCCACCTTTCTATAGGCCCAAAGCAACAGAGCTAACCAACCATGGACAGAAGCTGCCAAAATTGTGAGCCAAAAGAAACCTTTTCTCTATATAAGGTGAGTATCTCTGGTATTTTTTATAATGAAAGAAGATGACTAAGACAGTACTGTATGACTCCATTTATACATACTTCTAGCGCAGGCAAAAGTGTCTAATATAGGCTGAGAATGGGAGCAAAGAAACTGATTTCAAGAAAATCTATAGGGCCATTTTGGGGTGATGCAAACATTGGGCATCACAACTGTGGTAACAGTCACACACAGGTGCATACACTTGTTCAAATACAGTAATGTATACAACTAAAATTGCTGGATTTTATTCTATGTAAATTGTAAAGCTAATCCCTGGGCTGGGGGAGGTGAGTAATAAAACAACTCACCCTCACCCCAGAAAAACACGCAACAGTAGCTATCACTGAGTTTTAAAATGATAGGTTAAATTTTCCTAATATTTTGATTTCTTTCCTAATGAACAAGAACTTTATTTGTGGTGGCACTGGAATTTGAACTCAGAGCCTAGCAACACTACCTCTGGAGCCACTTCCTCAGCCCCCAAAGTACCTTTAAAACGAGGAACAGCAAAAACAAATCAGGAATTCTGTTTTATATGATAAAGTCAATAAACATGGAGTATATTATATAAAATGAAAATTATTAATTTCTCAGATTTTTATACTATCTAATGTTACCCTAGCTGGATACTCAAAGAGTCTGAGGAAACTTTCAAATCAAAGATTAAATAATATCCAATACACCTTGGTGATAAGTACATACTACTGTAGCCTATCCCTTCTGAAAGTAGTAATTTATGTCTGGCAAATAAGTCCATTAAACCAAAAGCTTAATTGACTAGAATATTCCATTGCTTAATCAGATCAAGTAACTACAGATAAATGGTCAAGACACACATTCCACTGATTATTTTCTCTAATATTTCATGCCTTCAGTAGATTGTTTCATTATTTAAAAAAAAAAAACCTGTAACACTTATTTAATTATTTAACTCACTTG